TAGTGATATGAATAGAATAAAGTAAAAAAGAGGAGAAAATTAGAAAAAACAAGACTAAGTAATTAAAAAGATTCGATGAAAAAGTTTGTTTATTTAAAGAAGTCAAATTGTGATTGTCCTCCTAAAGATGACAACTCAGAGAAGAGAACGATTTAGCTACCGAAAAATGATTCAGAATGATCACATCATTGAAGGGGAATGCAGGAATTGAATATAATAGAGTTAATTTCTAAAATAAGACTAAAACATTGATAAAGTGTACAAATAAGACTATCAATACTACGGAGTATAATATTTTTGTTTTAGACAGATGATGGTCTTACAATTTTTTGTAAATGTTTTGAAATATTATTATTGTGAATGTTAGTTTAGACAAAAAAAGTTTTAGATTTTTTTTTAAAAAATTGGGCCCGTTTTAATGTTTCGCCCCTAGGCCCTCAAACATATCGGGCCGCCCCTGTATGTATGCTGTCACTACTTTGAGGATGTTGTGAATAATTTTGTCACTAATTTTAGCTTGAGTGCAAAGATGTAGTTTAAAGAAGAATTTTCTTGATTTAGTCTGTCTGTTATGCGAATATACCTTTAACTACTTGTGCATGCTAATTATTTTAATTCCGTGTGGTAATTATCGTAAGTCCCGTTGTTCTGTTTGCTTGAGGATAAGCAAAAGCTTAAGTGTGGGGGAATCAGATAAGTCCGTATTTACACACGCATTTGATGCATGTTGGGATCGGCTTTTGATGATTTTTCTAGCTTTAAGGTGTTGCAAGTCTGAATTTTAACTGAAGTTATGTACTTATGTTTACCAGGTGTTGGTTCGAGTTTTGTATCATTTCGAGTCAAAATCAGGGAATTTGAGCCCGACACCGCGGCTTGAGAAGCAATCGGGATGAGTTGAGAAGCATTCGAGAGTGAATTGAGAGCATTGGAGGCCACCGGGAGGTTCACGATGAAGATTTGATGGCAAAAGAGCTCTACAATTGGCTACGGGATCAAAAGAAGACGTATAGAGCTTGAAAACCGAAATTAGCAACTTGGCATACACCAACGTTGCTGGCCATGTTTTCCTTATGTTTTCCTTCCCCGATGATTACCTGCAAACACTATGACTACTTTTAAAACTGCAATCCTTTGAATGGTCTGAACTTTACTCTACTATTTCTTGCTTTTTCCTTTTCTCCATATTCTACCTTTTCTCCAGCCCATGTTCTACCATTGGGCATCCACCCTCGCGCGTAGCGCGTGCTACCGCTAGTCTTAAAAACTTATAATTGTCAATGAGGGTTATGGTCTTTTTGGTATTAAAAATGTGTTGGTGTAATCTATAGCTTTATTATGTTGTAAATTCTACTTATGTTGTTGTACGGTTCATGCTTTCTCCCTCCCGTCTCCTTGGCTTCCGTTAATTATCAATGTACCCACTTCAACTTCCGTTAATTATCAACGAGGAGAAGTTCTGGGCCGAATAGAGGAGGAATAAAAACCCGGCCAGCTCTATCCATTAATTAACATTTGACTATGAACAGTAATTAATCTGGCTGGGTTACTATTCGAGTATTCGTTGAGCATTCCGGTAAAAATAATAAAAAAGCATTTCTATGGGAAAGAGACTGAATTTTACATTTTTTTATACACATAAAAATGTAAAAGAGCTTGTTTAGACTTTAGAGCATTCGAGTCTCTTATTTGTCAGTTTTCATTGTTATTGCTACAAGTGAATTTTCTTTTACTCCGTATGACTTTACTTTTCCTCCTATTTTGCTCACCCTCTAATTTATAATACATCAGTATAACAATTTTGCCTATCAAGTAAAGTTTTAGGCATACAAGTTTATAATATCAGTGTTGATTCTATACAAATTCAAACTGTGTTTCTCAAATACAAATTATAAGACAAATTCACTATAAGTGATATGCTTGTGTTATTGATAATTCATTCTTGATGCTTGAAAGGAATACGGATACATATAACGAGTTAAAGTTTGAAATTAATTATTATGTATTAAATTTTTACCAATTAGGCATTTAGTGTTATGTGTTTGTAAAAACTAGATTTTCACTCGTGCGATGCACGGATCAAAATTAAACAACAATTATATTTTATTATTTGTTAACATTAATAGTACGTGAAAGAAAGTTTTTGTACATATTGAATGTATAAAAGAATAATAAATGTAATACGCAGTATGTAATAAAAACTCATATAAGACGTTCTAATAAGAAATAAATTAGTCTAAGCCTAAGCAGACAATGCATTTAAAGAAGAATAAGTATTTATTATAATGTGTTTGCATTAGTCTAGATATTTTGAAACACTTCTTTATAAATAATATACTTTTAAATTTAGAAAGATTCACCATGAACATTAGTTTCAAAGAGTGTCGTTGCTCAATTGACTATTATGAGTGTGTGTGATAAAAATGCAACCTAAATGAGGTCTTTACAATTATGAACGCAAGAAAAGTCAAAATGCAATTGTGAGTTCATATGTTGAAGCAAATAAAAAGTCATCTTCTACCTTCCCTAACTGAGCCTAGAAGTTTGTCAACAAATCTTGAGCCTAATTCCCCACTAATGAGATGAGGTCTACAGAGGCCACCTAGAATAGTCTAAATATTAGATATAGACTTTACGCGCACAGCAGTTTTGCACTTGAAATGGATTTCATGCCTCAAAATAAAGAAGGTAAAAGTTAGATAGGATTAACATTTGAATAAACAAATGCTAACCAAAAGTAAATAACCTTTATAATTAATGGTTAGTGACCAAAGGTAATTCACTCTCATAAACATTACATTCATTGCATCCAGTTACATGTGTGCATGGTGCTAGTTCAAAAATTCGCAAATTGTATATGGCCTGCAAATCAAAGAGGAATCATTAAAAACTTAAATATATTGAGAAGCAGAAAATCAAATGCATTGGTTGTTGTGTTTGGTATCATAGAACTTACGAAATATAGAGAAGATTTCATCTTTCTCCATATACTAGGAGATTTTCTAAAGAATGAAAACCTGGGAACAAAGGGAGAAATGTGAAGAAAACATGAACTTAAATGCATTGAAGACTAAGCTGTAAATGAAAACCTCCCCAATTTGCTCTTATGTAAAAGGATTCATCATTCGAACACATACTAAGGAATCTTATAAACTGCTACTCCCTCCGGTTCTAAATAAACTTCACATTTTCCTTTTTGGGACGGTCCAAAATAAACTTCACACTTTCTTATTTCCTTATTTGGCAAAGAAATCTACATCAAAACAGTGTTAAACAGTGCTAAACAGTGCCAAACAGTGTCTCAACAGTGCGAAACAGTGTCTCAACGGTGCCAAACAGTGTCTCAACGGTGTACTCTACAGTAAAGTCAACTTTATTTCCTTAATAACTGTGAAGTCAAACACTAAAGTTTAAAAAGAACCGGAGGGAGTATATGATTATACCTACCTAGTCCAAATAAGTCTGTACGTAGCTTGGTACCTGAAGAGCGAGGCCAAACACGAAGAAACCTTATACGTCTTCTTCTTCATACTGTCCGTAAGCAGCAGATCGAGCCAGATCCCAGAGACTCATAGGTTGCCAATCCGCCAGTCATCTCGCCTCCCAGGAACTGCCTCCACGGCTCCACTCCCTTGATTTTACCATTTTACCCTCCGCGCCGTTAGTTTTGGTGTCATCCCTCTGCAGGCTACCATCTCTGAAAAGGAAAAACCCCACGTCTGTAGTCCCTGAACCCAAGCCGGGAAAAAGTGGTTGCTGAAGCACCTGGTCGCGAGAAGTCTCAATCGGCCAGGCGGTCTCCAGCGTCTATGGCCCTTGTGCTCTGCTTTGCCTCCATGCCAGATACTCTGCCAAGGCACTATACGGAGTATGTTTTGGAATAAGGGAATACCAAGATCCCAATAGTCACAGGTCACTCCATAAGCATGGATAGGACAATACGCCATGGCCCTCCGACCCATCGTTATCTTGTAGCAGAATATCACTTTTGACCATTTGACCATGATTGTGACATTTATGAGAGGGAAAATTTAGCTGATTTCCACCTTTTTTATACTCCACTAGATTCTCACCCGTGCAATGCGCGGAACAAAATTAAGTAAAATGATATCGTTTTGTTTATATATTAAGTTTATATACTATATTATACACTTTACGGTTTACAATGTTTGAGTGACAATAAAACAAATTGATCCCTGTCAACACTTAAATTAGTTTTAGAGAAAAAAATTACATATTCAAAAATTATATTAAAACTGCTACAAAGTCTACAAAAAATAATTCAAATGTCGTTAAATTTTGATATATAGAGTAAAAGATTAAAAGTAATTTATGTTGACCAAGTGAATAAGAAACATCTCTTACAAATTGGGACTGAGCGGAGTATAGTATACAGAGTATTAACTTTAACATCAAATTTTCATTAAATACAATCTGTGATGGTATGAAAATAGAATATGAGGTATGATATAATTAAACTTATAATTACTAAGAGTTTTTACCACCTATAATGTTTTGGAAGAAGATAATATTACTAAGAGTCAAGGTTGTCAAAAGCACTCGCCTCAGCGCTTAAGCGACCACTTTATTTGCGCCTTGCGCCTCAGGCGCTGGAAGGTCCCTGGCGCTTCAAGTGCGCCTTTCGACTTTGACTACCTTGCTAAGAGTTATTACTGTCTAGAATGTATTGGAAAAAATAAAAATAAACGTTACAAATACCACCTTTGAAATTTGTTATTCCCGTTGTTTAAACGTTTTGGAATAAAAAATGTCATGTTTATATTATAATACTATCGAGATTCAAAACACAATTGCTAAAACCCCGGATTATTAATAATAAGCAAAGATGTGGGGTATTTATACTAAAACCCCCGATTATCACAAGTGGAATTTCATTGATAAAATTTAATAAGCTAATACAAAGAAATGTGAATCTATCTATCTATGTATACATAAAAGCAATACAAATTTTTCCCGCCCACCCCAAATCACATCCCAACCGTTCACTCAAATGGATCTTCACCGTTCTTTCATCCTCTAGGTTCTTCGACAATCTCCCATTTCCTTCTCTGCCAATCTCCCTCTTCTCATTCATCTCTTGCGCCTTATCCAATTCCCCATTGGCCTTCTTAATTTCTCCGGCCGTCGTATCAAGCTTCTTCCATTTCCGGGTTCGTAAAAGCTTCATCCAAGCCATTCAATCCATAAATATCTCACTGTCCCTGTATCTTCACATCTTCCTCGATCGACTCTCATTATTATCTCTTCCTCTATATTTTCAGCCTTCCCCACCCACGTAAATCTCCATCTTCATGGCATTTACCCCTTTTTTGTAGAGAGGACAAGTCCATGTGCCCATACTTTCACACCATCAGATGGAAAGCCGTCAATTTCTTCCTCACTTATTTCTTCTACATGGTCAGGTAAGGCATATTGATTGTCTTAAATGTTTATGGAATTCCCAGTTGGTTATTCTTGAAGTTTTGCAATCTGAAGTTGATTTCAATGAGAGAACAAACAGAGTTGATGATAGGTATTCATCTTCTTATACTGATCAATGAATTTTCAAAGTATGCAAAGCAGTACAACAGTTCAGTTTGTCTCCTGAGCAATATACACATCTGCTAATTAGTTATTTGATAAATTGTTTTAAGAAATGTAAACTTATAAAACGGGAACATAGAGGTCTCATCATTGTTCATATATGTGTGTACTGTGTATATTAACTGCTTCTAGATTTAACAAATGTCGCTTGAAGACTCACCAACACGAGCTATCATGGACCAGACTCTGTTTGAAGCATGGAGAGGTAAAAGACCTTGGGTAAGTCACTTGAGAATTTTTGATTAATCATGCAGGTTTTCAGATTCTTTATCTGAACTTATTTAACTAAGGCGATTCTTTAAAGCTATTTATGTAATTTAGAATATAAGGAAGTATTCTAATATTAGTTAAATTAATATTTAGCTTTATATTAGTCAAATTCCAGTTGAGGTCAATTTCCTTACCAGAAAAATTATTGTTCATTTATGTGTATATCATTGTTCAGTCATCGGGATGGAAATCTGAACGACTTTTATCTCCTTCAATCATTTGGAGAGTGGAATGGTTATTGGAGCCCTTTGAAGATAAAGCTGACTACAAATTGTCATGTCAAGCCTGAAAATTTTCAGTTCCGTTAAACAAGATATATGCCAAAGTAAAATTTTGAGTTTTTAACTACCTGACAATCACTCTTGCAACATTGAAGCTAGGAAAAATGTGTTTTGGGCAATCTGCTATTCATTCTTATAACTGCTTCTTGGCGAGCCACTTCTTCACCTCACTTTCCTCTTCTTGACAATCACTCTTAATTTAAAACTTCAAATGTTTCATTAACAAATCCACTTCAGAAATTTCTTATCATTCACTGGGTTTAAATTATGGTTCTGGGAAGAAGTTAAAATACCTTTCAAGTATTTTGGTGATTTGTTTATGAATCTGAAAGGCTGTGAATTTTCAGTGCATAGTAATATGTTAGATGTATACCGTATAGTAATTAAGCATCAACATCTCCCAATATCAAACTGTAAGCTTAACTTCTCTCAAAAAAATACTATAAGTTTAAGTATCAAATTTGGATGTCATTGGACAGGATGTAAAAATACTGGGATGTAAATTACAATTAATTTTTACAGTGATGTTCTGTATTTATTTCTTAAGTCCATATGTGGTTGGTGCAGATGGACAATGGCCGAGATATCCCAGCCACCTATGTGTCCTTCATCCACAGCGTCGTCCAACTTCTTCCGTAGATAGGCTGTTGGACACAGAAATTCTTCCAAATCCCAGGTTTTTTTATATATTTTTCCGTGATGTTCTTTATTTATTTCTTTTATCAGCATATTGTCATTGGAAATTTGAGCGAGAATGTATACATCCTAAACACATTATGAATTATGACTAACAACATCTTTGTTATTTTAAGAAATTTTCAGTTTGTTCATTTTGTTAGTGAACTCAAAAATACTTTTAAGAATACTAATCCGCTTGATCTAAAGCTTAATTTCAGAATGCTTTGAATATAAGTTGTGTGATCTCAAAGAAGATCCATAATCTAAGAACAACTATTCTATCTCATTCAAACTAAACCGTTGGTCTGGACGTTATCAACAAATAGTTTAATCGTTATCTTTTTACCATCACAATGTATGTATATGTTCTTATTGAAGCTCCTTTCTGGTTTAGAAAATATGGTGTGAGGTTTTAGTTTTGATTGTGAGTGTTCACGTTCTGTTTATATGACATATAGATTTGTCCAGTTATGTGAACATAAAATCCAGGAAACGCTTTATAAACCATCAAGTCACACGGAAGTTAAGATTTCTGAGAGCATCTCCAGTGCTACAATGTGCACGGTGCACATGTGGCATGAGAGAGATAGACACAAAAATTTGATTTTATGACATTTCTCTCTCTGTCTTTCCACGGTCTTATGTGTTTTTGGTAAGTTTTTCTCTGCAATGTCAACTACAATGTGTACATCTAGACATTGTGCTTGACATTGTGAAGAAAAACTTACCAAAATGATATAAGATCTTTCAAATAAGGAGAGAGATATTTTATTTATTGTTTTTTTGATTGGCTATCTCTCATGCCACGTATGCACCGTTAACGTATTAGCATTGGAGATGCTCTGAAAGGTTTTCATGTTTTAATATAAATCAGCCATAATGAGTGATTATTATGTTTAGAGCATGGTGCAGCTGCCTTATTTACTTTTTTACTTACTTCCCACAATTTTAGGCATTGTTCTGGGAATTAGGTTTCTGGCACTTAGTTTTCTGCATTTTGGGCATCATTTCTCCTTCCTCTCGAGAAGACAAGAAGCAGGGTCAATAGAGCAACATTACTGGTGAAATGGAATTTTGCATTTCTGCTGTGTGTGACCAGAAAATGGATTATCCCTGTTCTGAAACAACAGTGTTGATGGATGAAGAGGTAAATAACTAAATTGGGTATTTAATTAAACTACATCTTTAATTGTAAAATCTTATATGTTAATCTGTTTTTTAAGAGTGCTTTTTTGTTTACAATGTTTTTTTTTTTTTTTTTAATATTTTGCATTCTTTTTCTATGTTCTTAAAAAATATATGACACTTCTTGCGATTTTGGCAAAAAAGGTTGAAAAAGGTGACATGTTTACTACAAGCGTTAAAAGATTTGATATTTCAAAACAATCATGCTTATTTGTTAAACTGCTTTTTGAGGTGTATCAAAGCTTATTTTACGACAAACTTGGGTGACACACACAATTTAAAAAGAAAAGTTTATTTATAGGGATGTCATTCTTCATATGCATATACATATTAGAACCAATTATACTTTTACTAGAAATTCATCACTTTTTTAACATCAACAAATTCAATAATAAGTAATTTGATCTCTACTTTTTTATCATCACTCTTTAACTTAAATTTTGAATTTTTATTTTTAAAAATCCGAGAAATTGCACTTGTGATCAATGTAAGAAAATTTAGGCATTAATGTTTTCCCTTTCTGAGGCATCTAAAAAAAATTACATTGCTCTTAGAGAGCATAACAACTTAGGCAAGAAGAGTCATCTCTCTTCAGTTTCATAATGATAATAAGATAGCCAATGCACAAGATAAATTAATATTCTTTCATATGTTTTTTACCACTTTGAATGCATTGGATGTGTCTACCTTGATAGAACTGAAGCCACAAACATCATGAACTCAATTGGTGTCTTGACGTCCAGTGTATGCAAGTACAGTTTTGCGTGCAATTCCGACTCTTCCGAGGATGACAATTCCACATGGCGTGAAGTGTGTGATACACGACGTGATGACGATGAGTTTAATTAGAAAAAATAACAAATGTTGTTTAGAAGGAAGTCTTTAATAATATGTAAACTGAGTGCTTATTAAAAACTTATAATATTTGTAATTACTTATTTATTGATGGATACTCTCATCCGCGTGATAAAGTGTTGTGAACCAAAATTTGCATTTATGAGTGAACATTTATAAAATATGCATTTTACATCCCGTGCAACGCACGGGAATACTAGTTGACATTTCATTGTAGACTATTAAATGTAAAGTTCAAAGCCATAGACGATACGCTAGCTTTTGAAAAAAATTTAACATCCTTTATGAATTGGTCTCTAAGAATTACTCCATTTGTGTCATAAAATGGATCTCACTTTTTCTTTTGGATTTTTCAGAGAATTATTCTCATTTTTCGTTTTGGAAAGTTTTTATGTCTAACATTCATTTACCTTTCTCTTACTCAACCACAATTATACATTTTCTTAAATTCTAATTCAAATCAAAGTGAGAATTATTAGATTGGACAAAAGGATTAGGATGTTTTTACTTGGACTGTAATTTGCCCCAGACCAGTCCAGTCCAGTCCAGACCAGACCAGTTCAGACCAGACCAGACCAGACTTGGATAGTTATAAAAATACAAAGAAACCAGACCTTACCAGACCAGACCAGTTCAGACCAGACCAGACCAAATCAGACCAGACCAGACCAGCAAATTACAGTAAAAACATCCTTAGTTGTAAGCTGAAAAACATCCCGTCTGAAGTCTGATGCAATACGTGTGCATTTAATGATCTAATCCAAATTAAACGGTTATTTAGCTGCTAAACCATTCCACTAACTTGATCTCTTTCGGCCCGTGTGATAATATTGCCGGGAAATGACATGTTTTTCTCGTCTTTTGTATAGAGTTAGAATAGATATAATAATATATAAATATTATATTAATCTATGACATGTTAAATTTTTAAATCAATTCAATAATTTAGCTGAAACAAATAACTCTAGACCAATCCGATGTAGAAAATAAACCTTGTACCAAAAATCAAATTCTCCTGAATAAACAAACTTTAAAAACTTAGTGTTATAGTTTGAGTAACTTTTCTTACACCTTTTCTCTTTTTCTTCTTCTTTCCGTAATTTTCTTTTATTCATTGGTCAATGACCAATATTGACCAATGTCATTGATAAGTCCTTCATTCTCTATATACGGAGAATTTAAAGTGATATCTTGCCCTTATCTCATCAACAAAATGAGTCTCTGAATTGACCTGTCATTCAAGATTTTAAAATTTTGGTAATCAACATGGTGCTCGGGCCAAGTCTTGAGAGATTTCCAAAAAAAAAGTAATTTGTTTTATAACTTTATTCAATTATCGAAATCAAGGAAGTCATATTTTTCATATTTAAAAAATGATAATTTTGGGATTGTTTTCAAAAAACAAATGCTTGCAAAGATGGGCTTTGACCGTGTATATATAGGTTAAATTCAAGAATAAATGTGCATCTAGATTGTCATTCTTTCATATTTTATACAGAGTATGACACTCAAAAGTATGGTATTTTAAAATATTTTAGACAAATGTATGCATGTATATATTAGTACATGTATCATATTATCATATACGGACTATGTGTTGTTTTCCATTCTGGCATTCTATCCTTAGTTATTGTATTCTGATTAGGCTGACTGGAATTCAATCTATTTTTAACAAAAATGCAATACATGGAGTAAATTTAATAATAATATTGTTTACAATCATTTTTAATTTATGAAATCCGCAAAATATATGTTTTAGAATTTATTACACATACGGAGTAATAAGATATCACCCTTGCCAGCCAATAGATGGGAATGAACCCTTCAACCAAGATATTCTTTCAAAATCATGGTCATAGCAGATGAAATTCCATGTTTTGATTCAAATATATAGATATTATTGCTATCAAGAAATAGGAAAAGAAACGATTTACTTTCAATAATAAATCCTTCTTGAAAATGGGAAAAGTCCAAATAGTTTTATCATGATTCAACCACGCCTAAGCCTTCCTCACTGGTCAAAATAGAACCCCTGCATCTCAAATCTGGAAACAATGTTAAACACATGCCTTGTATTCCAGGAGAAGCTCGCAGCCTAGCAGATGGAGCCTCCCGAAGAGCTAGTGAAGTCATCATCGAAAGTCCTGATGCAGCCATCCCTCAATCCGCTGAGTGTCTCCATCGGGAGTTAGGTTCATCTCAGACCGGCATATCCCCGCGAAGAAAAAATCAGCCCGACGATCTCGCAGCCCCTTGGATCTGGTTACAGACTTACAGTCCACTGTCCACATGCACCGACCTACCGTCTCCGCCGTTTCCTACCTTGAGGTTTCTCCTTTCAGTCGTCCGGGGACCAGGATTCACCATCGGCAGTGGTGCGGTCACTTCGGCGTAGGGTGGGTGGGTGGGTGTCACTCAGCCGCCTCTGTTACAGCCTCCGCCGTCGCATTCGGGAGCTAGATCTGTTGGCCGCTTCCATTTGCATGCCTTTTGTGTTGGCAGACGGCACCTGAGTTCAGATTACGATTGCCTCAGTTGGAGTTTCGAGTGTTTGCAGCCGCCTCACCGGATTCGCCAGAACTCTCACAACAACCACACTGAAAAAATTGGATGTGAATTAAAAGGTTCAAGTCATTATAATGGGCACAGGAAACGAAGTGTTAGTTGGCCAAATTTTCTTGTTTCAAGAGAAAGAAGATTCGGATGTTGACTCTGAC